AAGGGGACATTTTGATGCTGGAGCATGTCCAGAGGAGAGGAGTGAAGCTGGTGAAGGGTTTAGAGCACAAGTCTTATGAGGAGCAGCTGAGGGAGCTGGGGTCGTTTAGTCTGGAGAAGAGACTGAGGGGAGAGCTTATCACCCTCTATAACTACTTGAAAGGAGGTTGTAGCAAGGTGGGGATCTATCTCTTCTCCCTGGTAGCTAGTGAAAGGACAAGGAGAAATGGCCTCTAGTTGTGCCAGGGGAGGTTTAGGTTGGATATTAGGAGGAATTTCTTTACCGAAGGAGTTGTCAAGCACTGAAACAGGCTGTGCAGAGAGGTGGTGGAGTCACCATCCCTGGAGGTGTTTAAAAGATGAGTGGATGTTGTGCTTAAGGACATGGTCTAGTGGAGTACTTAGTACTTAGTAGGGCTGGATCAATGGTTGGACTTGTTGATCTTAAAGGTCTTTTCCAACCAAAACCATTCTATGATTCTATGATTTAAATGGATAAAATACAGAGGCAGCGCTGGAAGCAGAAACTAGTTCCCAGGACATCCTTTCCCAAAGGACAGATTTATTAGACAGTCATGAGATAAGACGTGGGCCATTGTATCCTTGGTTCCCAAACTGTCTCCTGAACTACCTGTGGAGTTGTCCTTGCAGGATTAGGCAGCAGTTGATTGAGACTTTCTCAGCACTTTGGATTCAGGTACATAATTTCCATCAAAGTCCCTTTTACACAGCAAAGAGAAAAAGCCAAAAAGTTGCTTTTGTCTTACATCATGTACAAGTGTATTGACTGCATAAGGGAGAAGGCTCCCTGAAAGCCCAACAGATGCTTTTGGTCACGCACAGAGAAGTCACACTCACATGGAGAAGGGTTCTTCAGACAAAACCGTAAGGCACTTTGGGCTGCCAGCAGTTCTGAGGAATCAGCTGGGTACTTTGCAGATCACCCAAAACTGCCTCAGCACTTTTCACTGCTGTGTCCTGCATTGGAGCCAAGCTTGCTTGCTCCCCACTGGGTTTCAGCAGCATGGAGGGTGGGAGGTCAGTTCCTTGACACTGATAAAGATTTTCCCATGGCGTAAGACAGCCTAAGAGATGATCTCAGCTTGTTTCATCACCTAGAGATGGTGATGAGAGAGCAAAAGCAAAAAGTCTTTAAGTGATTCAAAGCTCATTTTCACTGAGCCTTATCTTGCATCCTCCCACTTGTGCCAAGCAGGACAGAGCTGGGGTGAGTTTATTTTCTACCCCCCGATTGTTGCTCTTATCTTCTTGGAGTCTCCAGCTTAAAGCTACAGAGGTCCTGAAGAAAAAGAAATGCAAAAGTGGTGACCAGCTTCCTTTCCCTCATGCATAGCTTTGGTATCTGGGTACACTGTTTTGTCCAGTACATATCTGTGATCCAGTCTATTTATATCCAGTTGTTTCCTGCCCACACTCAGTTGTATCTCCCAGTCTGTGCAGTAGTCTTGGAAGCACACATGTAGACACAGGCCAGAAGTTGTCAACATCGTCTTGTTCTTTTAACTGGGACTGCTAGGATAAAGGCTTAGGGTGGATGAGCTTCCTTGACAAGTGAGAGCTGGAGACAGGTTCAAGCACTCATGCTGCTTCGAATAGAAGAAGCTGCAGGTCTTTCTCTGGATTGGTTTCAGCTCCAAAACCAGGGTAGAGAGTGTCCTCCACCACAGAAAGGGGATTTTCATGGTCCCAAGCACCACGCCAGTGAGCAGGCTGGCAGTCCCAGCAGAGCAGCTCCGCACTGGGCTGGGTCACTCCCCAGCACCAAGCCATCAGCTCCCCATTCCTCAGGGACTTCAGTGCGGGCAGTGAGACTTTAGCCTCTAAATCTCAGCGTGTGGCCCTGGCACTTCATGTTGTAGAACATGTCCACAGCTGGACACGGTGTTTCACTTGGTGTGCTTGCTGGAGGTGACGGCGCCCCAAATCGCCTTCTCCGGAGAAGCCATTGGCATCCTCTGGTGTTGTCCCAAGTCCCACTTCTTTCCTTTTCTCATTGTGCACTCCTCGTTTTGCTAAGCTGAAGCATATATCTAACATATGCATGTACACCTCCACGTCAGATCTGCCTAAAGCAAGAAGAGCTTCACTTTTTTTTTTTCCAAAATTGAGTTCTCAGTATCCTGAATGTACCTTTGAAATGCAACTGCAGCATCTGCATAATTGAAACAAGCAGTTCCTGACAAATGGAGATTACAAGTGAGGGTCTGTAGTAAGCGTAACTAAAAAAATACATTTTAATGTTTTTGCAGTGTGTTCAAAGCAACTTGAGTGCTGAGCACAGAAAACTCATTTCCCTTTTACCTGAAATGCCTTTATGTTTACTAAATGAAGAGTGGCATTAATCCTAGATCATATCCAAATCTTTCTGTGATTTTGTGTTTGTCATAACTAAAAGATCTCACTAAATATTTCTCTATATCTCTAAATAATATTGCCCATCATGTAATACTTTTCTCAGATTTTCCTCAGCAACTTTGTATCAGAGCTTGAAAAAGAGCTATTGCAGAAAAGAAAATGGGACTAAAATAACAGTCCTTTGTATTAAATTTAACATTTGGCTTCTGTCCCAGAAATCTCTGAATCCATATTAGAATCAGATGCTAGCCTAAGATGAAAAGATTTCCTGGATGGGTTTTATTCTTACTCTTATTAAAGGGCTGATAACAGGCTGAAGGCAAGATACTTGTTGTAGTGAAAAAATCTGCCGAATATCAAAGGCTGGATGGACAAGCTGACATGTATTATTGTTAGGCCTCCCTGCTTGATCACATTTCAGTGCCATAAAATCACTCTGCTAGTGAACACGAGGTATAAAAATTCCAGCGTGAGAGCAAAAAGCCCAGGCTGGCAGGTAGCACTCCTTTGGGCACACTGCTTTATGCTTAGGAGCTGACCATAAGCCAATGCAAAGGTTTAATATCAAAATGTAGTGTTGGGGACAGCACAGTGTAGCTGCATTTATTTCAAATTTTAGTTATTCTCAAATATTTGCATTCGTGAAAGGCGCTCCCTTGTCAGACGTACCTGTGTAGCTGGCACCACGTGTGATGTGCCAGTGTAGGGCAGCCCCACCAGTGTTGCTCAGCTTTCGTCAGAAGCTGAGCATCCTCTGCCCTGTCCCCAAACCAGTCCCTTGCCCCAGGTTCCTTTGGCAATCTGGAGACAGAAAGATCAAAGGGACCTAAATACTCTTCAGAAAGCAATTTTCCCTTTACTCAAAGCAGCTTTGTGTAGTACTTATGTATGATTGGGCTTAAATTGTACAAGCGTTTGCGTGCTCTGGGTATTTGATGCAAAAACAATTACTTTTGATAAAATGAAGGAGTGGTGCTTTCTAATGTTGCCGTTCTGCTGTAGTGGAGACTGCGAGCATGATGCTGGAGCTATAAATTAGATTTTGCAAAGCAGCTCTTCGGTAGGGAGTCTGCTGCTTCAGACCGACACGCTATAATTAGCATTTTCTTGAGGATATTTTTGCTCTGTTTTGACGCAGTATCTTCAGCAACAAAAGTAGAGCAGCAATTGCAGGCTACATTGACCCTTCATTTCAGCTTGTGATCACAAAGGATATCAAAGACCAAATATGCTTTTATAGATGTCTTATGCCACTTTTCTAAATGCACCTTTTTAAAGCAACTGGTATGTGGTTTGAATTTACAGGCAGAGAATTGTTTCACCAGCACTGGGTATTTACAGTGTTACAGTCAATGGAGAGAAATGTGCACGTTTAGAGGAGTAATTAATCCAATTATTTTAGACTATTTCTATCCTTAGCGATAATTAATCCTAGTATAAGTAGTTCAGGAGGAGCTATCTGCAGTTAGGTGAGATGGATCCCATACAGCATGTTTCTGATTTGCGCTGTGTTCTCACTCTGCTATTAACACTGTATTAATGTTTTACTTTGTTTTGTTTTGTTTTTTAAATGATCAGATTACCACAAGGAATACACAAAGAGATCACTTGTGTTTGTAAGAAATACTTGGTTCAGACCCTAAGAGATTTTTTACTGCTGATAATTGCAACCACCTTAATGCTTCCCGTGAAAGCTGCTTTGGTAGTTGTATTGATCCTGTCCTCTGCTACTCAGGTACAAGTTTGATACCAAACATCTTGCATGAAGAGTGCGTTCTGGGACATGTTGGGTACTTGGGCAAAGCTAAGGGCAGGAACCTCAGAGAGACCATGGGACTTCCTTGCAGTCTCCCGAAAACAGCTTCAAGGAGACTGGATGAATAATCCAGTAGCACATACATGCCTGTTTTCAGGAGTATGACTACAACTGGGACAAGGGCTAAGGAAGTGTCATTTGTACTGGGAAGCAGTGTTGATGGCCTGTTTATCTGAGTTCACCTGAACCATGCTTATGGGTTCATTCAAACAGAAGAAACACCGCAAAGCTGCTCTCCTGAAGACGCGTTTGCCATGCATGACAGGGCACAAAGGGTGAGTGGCATCTTAGGAGACAGAAGAATTTCCTGTGAACAGCCCTCAGCACAATGATAGAGTAATACCTAGTAACTAAGGAATCAAAGTTATTTCTGAAGTGTGTAAACAGAGTCACAGAATAGGAGTAATAAGTTATTATTGGTCCTCTAGTTGTCATTTGTCACTACATCGTCCTGCTGCCAACAGTTTGATTTTCAGAGGGTGATGGCTGCTGGAAACATGTTCCCTGAAAACTTTTCTTATTCACCGCCTCAAAATCTATAGTTAACTTTTGGAAGTCTTGGCTTTGGAGTAGAATTCTGAAATCTGGACTACTGACACCCAAAACCTCGAGGCTCCCTAGTATGGTCCACTGAGCATTAGATTTCTTCTAATTAATCTCCTGGTTGATTATGTAATTAATTTTTCTAGGTGAGTGTATAGTCGGTTTCTTTAATTAATTAATCCTCAGCTTTGCTTATTTCCTCCTTTGTCATGCATTACCTAGTGACACGTGTATGCATTTTCTTTTCTGTTTTTCTTTTTTTGCAGATATAACTGAAATTGCACCGTGCATTTTGCAGACTTCACCAACAGATCAGCAGCTGAACAGACTTGCGAGGAGACTGGGACCTGAATGGGAGCACATAATTCTGTGCTTGGGTTTGTCCCACACTGACATCTATCGATGTAAAGTCAATCACCCTCACAACCTGCAGTCTCAGATCATAGCTGCCTTTGTCCTGTGGAGACAGCGTTTGGGGAAGAAAGCAACGATCCAAAGCCTGCAGGCCAGCCTCATGGCAGAAGAAGTGGATCCTTCTGTGATACAGTACATGCTTGAGTGAAGCCTTGCTATCGATTGGGAGCTTTCAAGTACTTTGTTAAATTAAATAAAGAGGATTAATGGAAATGTACCTTGAAGATCTGATGCCTCAAACTGGAAAAAAAAATGGGGTTGGGAACTATGGTTTTATCAAGCTTAAACATTCCAGTTTTCTGTGGCATCTTGTGACTTGTAATTCCTTTCATGCCAGATTAATTTTTAGGAGGCATTAAAAAGTGGATCACTCTTTCCTGTTCACTTTTGTACTATTCCAGAGGGGATATAGGGTGACACTTAAAGTCCTCACAAGCAGGTGTCTGTGTAGTGAGTACAGCAAGGTTTCTGGTTTCACTGAGGGAGCAACACTTGGTTTAATCTATTTTCTGGACTATGTAGGAGCCGTTTTACTGCTATTCTGTGCCAGTTCCCTGATATCCCAGCAAGAAATGAGAATAATTGCTGTCGCTAGTTTAACAATTTTACAACAGTTATTGCAGGTGGCTAATTTCACATTTATAAAAGTTTTAGCACATAGATTTTCTTGCTAGGATAGATGGCTGCCACCTTAGTCTGCCTTTGAAGCTGGCCCTAAGTGGAAGTAACAGGAATGTTGCATGCCCATGAGGCTTTCTGTCATCCTCACTTAATGGGTGTAACTTTCTGCAAGGAGACAGGCATCATGTGTGTATGCCATCTCTTTGCATAGCATGGGTGGGGAGCTCTCAGGGAAGACATGCAGTAGAAAATAGGCAGGAACAGGCAAACAGAATGAGAAGGGGCTTAAAAAATGAGACAACTTCTAAGTTGTCCATGTGTGTCTCCACTAAGAAGCTGGGAGACAACCTGGTGCCTGCTGAGTCTTTGTACCATGCTCTGGATCCAGGCAGTCTGGTTTCACGGAAGATTTACTTGTAGGTCAAGTGTCTACAGGCACATTTTTCTGACCACTGCATGCCCAGCAGGGCACTGAAGCTTGCAGGTCCTTCTGGTCAAGATGAATTCCTACCAGCCTGTGCCATCCAGCAGGCTCCTTTGCCTTCTGCCAGCTTTTCTGCCCCTGATGGGGGCAGCTTTGACACTCCTGTCCCCAGTTCTTTGCCAGCTGCAGTTGTACCAGCAGTGATTATTACATTTTATCCATAAAAGCAGTAAACCTTGGGCTTTTCTCCTCCTTCGTGCTGGTTTTTGCTGACCACGTGAGTGGAGATCAGTCTACAGTGTCTGTACCCAAAGGCAATGGAAGTGAGAAGCTGCTCTCTGAGGCCTGATGATGAGGCAGGTTACATTTTAATTCTCCCTGAGCACTTTGCTGTACAGTAAATGAGGAACACAGGTTGGATGCAGGGCTTCCAGGTCTATTTATGAGCAAGTTACATTAGACTCTTTCATCTACAGAGTCATTGCCAAATAACTTCCCATCCTACAAGATCTGCCCCATATAGTTTAAGAGCTTAACAGCCTTGTCAGAGGTCTTTACTGAGACAAGAATGAACATGTTCTACCTTTTTTTTTTAATTCTTCCTAAACCCGGATTTTGGAAGACATCTGGGAAATTAGGGAAGATAAATAAATTTTAAGAAAATCCCATCTGCCTTGTTTTTCAGAAGCATGGAAACAGAAAACCTATCCTTGCAGGATCAGCTCCTGCAGATCCCAGAGCAATCTGGTGGTATTTTGGTTTTAATCTTCCGTATACAGTTCTGACCTTCAGTAAATCATGATCCTTTTATACCTCACTCAGATCTTAACTCATCATATCCTATTATGGCTACTTACTGTGTTTAAGTCTGTCATCAAATCCCAAATAAACGATGTAAATCAATTTAGCCCTTGGGATTTATTTATTTTTCTGTTTCATGATGCTTTAATGCCAACATAGTCTTTTTGTTGTTGTTGAAAACCATACTAGAGCAGGTGTACAGACATTTGGCAGATTTGTATGAGTGCAGTCCAGCGTGGGGAGTGTGATGAGGACTCTGAAGCAATTCTGCCAGTGAGGTGGGCAGAAGCGTGGTCTGCATTTTAGGGAAGAGAGGCAAAGCAGTCTCCTTGGCAGCAGTTTGGAGGAACAAAAGCTGGAGATGGGGAACAGGAGAAACTACTGAAAGCATGATTTAGAGGAAGAAGCTGGCTCCTGGAGACATAAATGCAAGTACCTTATCTTGTTCTGAGCCAGCATGAACCAAGTCTTAACACAGACTGGTCTCCAAGGGAGTCATCCCCATTAACCCAGCATGAGTGCGGTGCTCTGGGAAGGCAACCAGTCCAGGCGGTAGAGCAGTGTAATGGGCACACTCACAGGGCCCTGGTTCCTTCTTCTTTGGGTGAACTTTGCACTTCATTCTCTTCATTTGTAAGGCCAGTGTCAGGTCATCCATAACTAATACATTGAGAGGCTTTTTAATTGTTAAGAAAACAACCTGGGGTAGGTATGAAATATCATGCCAAAGAAGCCTTCCTCACAAGTCAAGTATTCTGTGTATCTACTATGGGCCACTGGAAACCCGATGGGTGAGTATCGTATCAGGTAATTTCTCCATTTACATTGATATTTAGGTGGGCTAAATTCTGCATCCCAGCAGTGGTACTGAAATTACAGGAGCCACGGCTAGACAAGGGATTTAAAACCTGGCCTCTTGTATTGTAGAACAAAGCACTTAATTCATAATTTATAGTTACTTTCACATTCCAAGGCCTTAAATTAATGCTGTAATACTTGAGTTGCAAATATTGAAGGGAGGGGTTTACTTATTTTATGAGATTGTTTCCATTGCTGTTATTTTTAAATTCATGGAAATGTTCCTATTAGACTCTTCAGTTTTATTAAAGCTTGTTTTTGCACCACACAAATGCAGAAACACATTTAATTTGACAGTAGTATTCCTTTAACCCAGTGGATTTTTCCATCCACTTATAAATGTTTTTCTTCTGTATGTAATGCTTTATTTTGCACGAGGATACAATTAGGACTATTTAATTCTTCAGATGTATAGCAAGGCCTCTTATTCTCTGTTGGGACAGCCAAAAGGTCTCACAATGTTTATTCTTCTCTGGCTAATTTGGAAGCCAATGTTATTTATTTAAATCTCACTCTCAGACAAACCTGGGACTTGAGTATTGTTCAGGAGTGAAGCAACTCAGTGAGCAAATTTCCCCATCTCTGCCTTCGTCTCAGCTCCCTTGTGCCACCGCTTTGGGTGATGACAAGGGGCTTGCGCAGGGGCACCTGCCCTCCCTGCCCACCGTGCCCCCAGGACGGGTGCACAGGAGAGGCTGATGGCCAGGGGCAGCCCCCCCAGCAAGGCCTTGTCCCTCTTGCACCGCACATCACATCGGGCTACTATGTGGGCTGAGGGGCAAAGGTTAGCCAGCAGCAACTGCTCTCTGATTGGTTTAGGTTTCTTAACTGATCTTGAAAAAGCCTTTCTAGTGAAAATGGTATTATTGCTATCTGCTTATTTGTGGCAGTGTTTAGGAGCCCCGAGAGAGGAAAGCATAAAGGTGGCTCCTGCTGTACCTTCCACTGAGATGGATGGCTTAACTTCCAGTCCTTGGAAAAATTAGTCATTGATTTTCTTCCTTGGTCTGTAAAGGAGACTTTGAGGTCTCATTTAACTCTCCTAAGTGGTAAAGTAGGTGTGCTGGTTTTGGCTGGGATAGAGTTAATTTTCTTCATAGTAGCTGGTATGGGGCCATGTTTTGGATTTGTGCTGAAAACAGTGTTGATAACACAAGGATGTTTTAGTTACCGCTGAACAATGCTCACACAGAGTCAAGGCTTTTTCTGCTTCTCACCCCACCAGCAAGGAGGCTGGGGGTGCACAAGTTGCTGGGAGGGGACACAGCTGGGACGGCTGACCCCAGCTGACCAAAGGGATGTCCCATTCCATACGTCATGCTCAGCATATAAAGCTGGGGGAAGAAGAAGGGGGAGGCATTCAGAGTGATGGTGTTTGTCTTCCCAAGTAACCATTACGTGCAATGGAGCCCTGCTTTCCTGGTGATGGCTGAACACCTGCCTGCCATGGGAAGCAGTGAATGAATTCCTTGTTTGGCTTTGCTTGCGCACATGGCTTTTGCTTTACCAATTAAACTGCCTTATCTCAGCCCATGAGTTTTCTCACTCTTACCCTTCCAAGTCTCTCCCCCATCCCACTGTGAGAGGAACGAGCAAGCAGCTGTGTCGTGCTTTGTTGCTATCCGGGGTTAAAAACCCCGACAGCAGGCTTTATAAAAACTGTTTTGTACTCTGCATGTACAGGTGGACACTTACCACGGCAGTAGGCAAGGTCTAAGAGCACTACTTCCGACCTGCACAAAGTAGCATGGATGATCACAAAGGAGGGATCTCCTTAGGGCAGAACCATGTCAAGGAGGTTTTACGCTGCATCGAAGAGTGGCTGGAGTGTAAAGTAGAATGAAAATGCAGTCATCTTTGAGCCGCTTCTCCCACGTGATGCTGGGGAAATTTCCATCTTGAGTCATATATTATGACAGTCATTGATCTGCGGAATAAAACATTTTGCAAACGGCTGGAGAAATAAACAAAGTCATATTATGTTCAAAGAACATAAAAAACACTCATCTGATGATAAATGTGGTCATGCTGCCAGTTTTGTTTCTTACTGGTGTCCTGGTTTGAGCTAAATAGAACTAATTTTCTATTTAGTGATTTTACTTTTCAGCTCAGTCTCTTTTAAGTGACTGAGCTTGCTGAAAACTGGCAGCATGTTTTTCCCAAACAGCGCTGCTAGAAGATATGCTCAAGGTCAGTTGTCTCATCATGGGTGCTGTGTCTGCGCCTACGGGGGGAGAAGCGGACCCAAAACTGACCAACGAGGTATTCCATCCCACATACGTCATACTCGGTATAAAAACCAAGAGATCACGAGGGTCTTGTGCCTTTGCCGTTTCCACCGTTCCTTCCATCTTGACCCTTCGGTCCGTCTCGATGCTGCAGAGGCCAAGGCCTGAGCGGAATCCTGCTCGTTCGTCTGCCGCTGATCCTGATTTGTGTGTTCTGCATCCTGCTCCCACCTGCTGCTGAGTTTGGTCTGGGATTTTTCCAGTGCCCGGCGCTGCAGAGCCTCTGGTGACGTATTCGTCATTGGGGGGAAGGGTGGGGGGAGGATTTTATATTGGTTTTGTGTATATATTTGTACATATTTGTATATATTTCATTATTTTCATATTTACAATATTATTCTGTAGTATTAGTATTATTGTTTCATTAAATCTGTTAGTTTA